AAGTTTACGTTGGTTTTTAAACAGAAATTTAAAAATTTTACTAGCAAAGTTTTTTTTCAATTAATTTTTTTTTCCAATTAATTTTTTTGGGTAAATCACACTGACACCTCCCTGAGGTTTATGTTTATTACAGTTTCTCCCTCACCTTTTGGAAATTACATCTCTCCCCTAAGGTTTAAAGTTTCATTACAAATTCCCCCCTTCAGCAATTTAATTTTTTTAAATATCAAATTTGCCTCATTGGATAAATTACATTGACACCCCTCACATTTTAGAAATTACAATCCCCTCTTTAAGGTTTAAAGTAGCATTACCAATTGCCCTATTGCACTGCAAGAAAAGCGGGTATCTGAGACGGAACTATTTGCGACGGCACACTTGCCGTCTCAAAAAGTCACTTTTTGCGACGGCACAAAATGCCGTCTCAAAAAAGCAGAGTATTTGCGACGACACCATTTGCCGTCTCAAAAAAGTAGAGCATTTGTGACGGCACAATTTGCCGTCTTCAAAAAATGAGACAGCATTTTGTGCTGTCGCAAAAAGTGACTTTCGTGTTTTTATTTTTTTAGTGAATATTTTAAAAATTTTAAATATTTTTTTTAGATGCACCTTACGTAGATGTATCTAAAAAATAAAAAAATTATGAAAAAATATTTTTAAAAATTAAAAATACAAAAAAAAAATGTATTGAATTATTGTATTTTTTTTGTATTTTTGGTATTTAGTGAATTTTTAAAAGATTTTTTTTACATTTTTTTAAATTTTTAGGTGTATTTATGTTAAATATGTCTAAAAATTAAAAAAAATACTTAAAATATTAAAAAAATTCAGTAAAAACAATATAACATGGAAAACAAGAAAGTGTAATTTTCTCAAATGAGTTTTTGGAAAACTCTAACCTAGCATAGTGATTGTGGTTTTGAGATAGCTTCATATATATACAGTCACAAAATGGTTTGAATAAATTCAACGGTATTTTTCTATCGCAAAAAAAATTAAAAAAAACAATGTCGTCTTACTCCTTTGATATAACATTTCTCTTTTCATGCATTTTTTTCATCTTCCTGTCTCTCTGTCTCTATCTCTCTCTATTCTCTTTATCTCTTTCACTCATCACTCTTCTTTCTCTGTCTGCCTGTTTCTCTCTCTCATTTTCTCTCTGTGTCTCTCGCCTATCTCTCTTCTCTCTTTCTCTCTCATCTGTTTTCTCTCTCTGTCCCTCTCGCTCATCTCTCTTCTCTCTATCTCTCTATTTTTCTATTCTCTCTCTCGTTCATTCTTTTCACTCTCTTTCTATATGTCTCTCTCATCTCTTGTTTCTCTCTATTTTTCTATATGTCTCTCTCTATCTCTTTCTCTCTCTGTCTCTCTATATCTCTCTCTCTATATCTCTTTCTCTCTTTATCTCTCTCTCATTTATCACTCTTCTCTCTTTCTTTCTCTCTTCGTGTCTGTTTGTTTGTCTCTTACTCTTCTGTTTCTCTCAATCTGAATCACATCAAGAGAAACATGCTCCAATTTACAATTACAGTTCAATTCTCATAAAGCAAATTGAATATCAAATGTTCAAAAAAAAATGATAAATGCAATATTAAAACAAAGAAAAAGAAGATGGAAAATAAGTTGATGACCCATACAAGACTGAAATAAGACAAAATTAAGGCTAGCCCAAAATGATCAACTGTATTGGAACTCATTGAGAGTCAGAGAATAAAGTAAAATTCTCCCCCAAAACAGAAACATAAAAAACATGCATAAACATATATATCCTGTCTTACCATCTATCAACCATTTTGAAATATGATATAAACAATTCAATTCCATAATTGCCTATTTTCTTTGGAACATTTCAGTTTTTATTCATTATTCAAAACCCAAACCTCCAGTCAAGTACCCCATGCAATCACCCAGCTCATTAAAACCACATGCACAAACAAAATCCAAACCACTTCCCAAATTTTCTCAGCAACCAAACAAAACCCAAAATTATATTTACAGATATTCAAAACAATCTCTAATAAGCTAAACTAGAACACAAATCTGAGCTCAATCCAATAAAAGATCACCAGATTGAAATGAACCAAACAAATTTTAAAAAAAATCAACAAAACCCAGCAAAAACCATCAGATCGACATGGAAACAGCTGATACATTTCCCATCAGAATGCCCAAACATATACAAACGCTGTACGAGGATCGAAAGATGGATTGTGAGAGACTTACGAGTTCCCCAGAGATGTGAAGATTCTGATAGAACAGTCCTCTCTCTCTCTCTCTCTCTCTCTCTCTAGGTTTTTATATTACTCGGATTTTGAACACACAGGACCGAAATGGTTTGTTTGGGTGATATGATCGATCGGGAGTCACCAAAAACAAACAAATTTTGGGCCTGTTTGGGAACAAGTGGTTGCTCTCTCTCTCTCTGTTTCCAACAATGATCCCACTAAAAACATCACTATTAAGAGCATCTCCAATGCACTAGGCATATAATACTTGTTAGTTAAAATGCCTAGTGTGATTCACTTTTTTCAATTCCAATGCACTAGGCATATGATTAGGCATTTTGCCTCAGCTCATATTCACTAGCTACATGTAGCTAGCCTTCAACGCTAGGCAAAATGTATTCAATCATTAGGATCATTTCCCTCCATCTTTGTGTTTGACGTGGCATTCTATAAAATTAATAGTATTTGGATAAATAGCTAAAATAAAGAGCATGGTTGGAGTAAAAACATAAAACAGTCGATAGGCAAAATAAAATATATACTTTATAGTAATATTTAGATAGGTAAAATGCCTACTATCATTGGAGATGCTCTTACTATCTAACTTTTTTTCCCCTTTTGTTTGTGATTTTGTCTAAGTCACTGCCTTCTATTGTGGCTTACCAAATTTGCTCTTATTACGCATTATTCTTTCTGTATCCAGATGTTTCCTACAGAGATTACCAAGTGCATTCCTCAAGTGCAACTACCATTCACTGGGAGTGAATAGTGAACAAGGGTATGGTGATATCACAATTCAACTGCATATATTTGTTTGTTTCTCTAATACGAAGCAACCACTCTTTCTATTCAGTTCGGAGTGATTTCTATTCTTGTGTTTGAGTAGAAAAACTATGAGTAAAATTTGTTCTTGAAACTGCCCATATTGTTGCTAATGAACGTTCTGTTCTGAACAGAGAACTGCCAATTGCAGAGGCACTGCGGTGTCAGGTTGAAGTACGGAAAAGATTACAAAAGCAACTCGAGGTATCCCTTTTATTTGACAGTTTTGTGAACAATTTTCCTTTAATTGTAGGCCTCTTCACCATGGTAGGTCATGAACTTATTGCTAATTCATGCTATGGTTGTTGGCTGTTGTCTGATTTTTATTTTTTTCCTAATATGTAATAGGTACAAAAGAAGTTGCAGATGAGAATAGAGGCCCAAGGGAAGTACTTGCAAACAATAATAGAGAAAGCTCAAAAGAGCCTCACACTCGATATGAACTTCCCTGCAGTAAGTCTCGAGGCCACAAGAGCTCAGCTAACCAACTTCAATTTGGCTCTATCAAATCTCATGGAGAACGTGGATGGGGAAGTGAGGAATGAAAACAATATACAAAAGAGCTTATTGAATGACATTAATAGGAAAGCGAATGGGTCACTTTACTTGGCGGAGGTAGAGGAAAGGAAAGACATCGAGCTTAAAGTTGAAGGCGGTTCTGTAAATTTTGATTTGAATACTAGAGGGAGCTATGATTTCATTGGCACAAGTAGATCTGAAATGGAAGCCAAGACACTTGCATATAGGAGTTAGAATTGAAAATATGGTATTTTACATTTTCTTCTATTGATATATATTTCACCTTCAGTAGCTAAATATATTTGTTGTCATTACTAGTCCAGATACATGAATGCTATTATTCTGAGTCTTGTTGCCATGATAACTCATCAGCCGATACCTATGTATTGGTGGTGTTGATAAGTTTTGTTGGGTCTCTGTATATTAAAGTATGTTGCGTCAACACGTTGAACTATGGAGCCTATGGGTGAGGACTGAAGGTCAAACAACTCATATCATATGGGATGATTAACGACATGTTTTTGAACATTGTTAGTGATTCTTTGATTTTTTTTTGATAGTACTGCAAATTATTTCCAAACTTCCTTTTTCATTATTATTTTTAATATATATATATATATATATATTCTTGTGAATTACGGTTGATAAGTTGATATATATATTCAGCAGTCTGAATTATGAGTTCTGGGCCATAATTTGATCAATTCCATGTATCAGATTGCTTATTCTCTAAATTACTCATCACTGTCAATCGAATCAGTCTTATTTAACCTTTTCTTACTCGTTCGTTAAAAGGGAATGCATTTGGTTCTGATAAATTGATTCTGTAGATTTCTCTAGGGTTCCAATTGTTGATGGCTACTCATTTGCTCATCTCACAAAATGGATGAATGTTGCTGGCAGGCATATAACTTCTTATCTCGTTGATTTGCTTCAACGTAGAGGGTAAGGGTCAACATCAGTTATTCTCAATATATATGTAGTGTATTATATTTGAAAGATGCCAAAATGGGCATAACCTTTCACAGAAAAATTACTTGTACTTTGATTGGAATACCAAACTTTCATTTCTGAAGGTATGCAATGAATAGCACTGCTGACTTTGAGACTGTTAGGGATGTCAAAGAGAACCTTTGCTATTTAAGGTGAAGAAATAACATTATAGTTTGGTATGCTTTTGGGATTTGTTTCATTACAATTTATTAGATTTGTTTTCCTACTGTTATGATTGCAAAAGGGAATATCAATTGGGACTCGAGACTACCATCCTTGTTAAAAATTATACTGTAAGTTTATTCTCTTATCTATTTGTGCAATTATATGGATTCTTCTAGGAATTGTTCAAGTTACTTTCCTTTTGGGCATGTTGTGACTGTGATTGTGACATACAAAATATCCCAAGTTGGGAGGTTTAAAGCAATTAATAGCAATGGTTGTGTTTTTAAAATTATCTCATAGTAGTTTAATATATGGTGCCTTCATGCGGAATATTTTAGAAGTAGTTGAAAATATGTACTTATGCGTACTTACTATTTAGCTTGTGGATTTTTGTCTCATATTTCTCTTTGGTCAATTCAGTCTGGTATGCCTTGTCCATGATCTGTCGGTTATCCTCAGTTCTCTCAAGCATTCATTTCTTCATGGGACGTGGATGATATTTTTAGAGAGCATATGTTTAACTAATTGTTTTAAAAAACAATCATACCGATGCAGTCATGTGGCTAATTTGAAATCCTCCTTTAATTCATGAGTAAAAATTTGTGATCTACAGGTGGACATTGCCTATGCTCCATTCATTGAAAGGTTTCAAATCTTCTTTGAAGATGCCTTGAAGTATGACATCACATCAGGAATACCAAAACTAGCAGCATGGATTGAAGTGAGTTAATGAACTAAACTCATTCTTGTATATATCTTGAATGATGGTATCTCTTATTATCGGATCTATGTGCAGGAGCTGAACAAGATTGACGCTTATCCATAGACAAAATGTGAACCCAAAGTGCTTGTTGAATTCTACAAGAAACGTTTTCTGGTAATCCCCTCATGCCTTTAAATTAAAATCCAATGGCACTCGGATATGCTTTGATAGTGAAAAAAAAAAATAAAAAAAATCAAATAAAACTGCTAACACTTCAATATATATATCTTCACTTGCAGGCTCAGCAGTGAACATGCAGCAGCTGTTCATAACTCAAATAAGTGGCTTGATGCCCTATAATCAATATCTCTAATCTAAAACTCAAATGTATCTGCATGGGGATGTGGATTTATGTTTTGTTTTTGTTTTTGTTTTTTTTTGTTTTTGTGTTTTGAGGTCAGGGTATGTGGAATTGCTAATAAGATCAACTTCAATATATATATCTTCACTTGCAGGCTCAGCAGTGAACATGCAGCAGCTGTTCATAACTCAAATAAGTGGCTTGATGCCCTATAATCAATATCTCTAATCTAAAACTCAAATGTATCTGCACGGGGATGTGGATTTATGTTTTGTTTTTGTTTTTGTTTTTTTTTGTTTTTGTGTTTTGAGGTCAGGGTATGTGGAATTGCTAATAAGATCAAGAGTTGTCTATGTTGTAATGTGTTGATGTGTATTACATCACGCTCTTCGTTTTGGTTTGTTTTTTACATGATCAGAATTTAGACCATATTTTCAGTTTCAAGGATGTCCAAATGCTACTTTTCAGTTTCAGATTTTCTTTGACCATGCAACTTATACAGTTAAAAACAAAATTTCATACTTCATTTGCAATTTCTCACGCTTCCTTTATGAGAGACTAAGGCTAAGTTTGGGAAGTCCCAAATAAGTCAAAAAGTCAAAAAGTTACTCAAAAAGTTAAAAAGTTAACACTATTCACCAAAAGTCAACAATTACGGCTGCACAACTCCCAATTCAAATTTTCCTCTACAAACCAATTTTTACAATTTTTTATTACACATTTTTCCATAAAAAGTCAAAAAGTTAACCCAAACATCCATATTTTCAATCTCAATTTTTTAGTCCAAAAAGACAAAAAGTGCACTTATTTAGTCTTCCCAAACTTGGCCTAAGTCTGTGTCTGATTCATTAATTTGGAGAGGGATTGGAAAAGGAAAATCTTGTCAAATTTATGAATCAAACACAGTCTAAAAATTAAAATAATAAAATCTTATGTCATATTTCATTTTTAATTTCTTACACTGTTTTTGTGAGCAACTAATAATAGACAAAAAAATAATAATAATAACCAAAACAAAAAGCAAAAACGCCAACAAAGAAAAAAAAAACAGCAACAAAATTTTATTATTTACCAAATTTTATTATTTTTATTGATTTGTTATAGGTTTTATTTTTTGTGACGGCACTAAACTGTCGCAAAAAATAAAATTTTATTATTTTTTAATACTTTTTGCGACAGCAGCACATTGTCGCAAAAAATAGGGATTTTCATATTGTTAATACTTTTTGCGACGGTACCATACCGTCGCAAAAACAGTGTTCTTGCCATTGCAAAAAAAGACTATTAGCGACGGCAGTTTTTGCCATCTCAAATAACATTTTTAGCGACGGTAAAATAGTGCCGTCGCAAAAAGTCAAGAAATTTCAAACATTAGTAGCGACTACAAAGTGCCGTTGCAAAAGGGCAAAAATGCCGTCGCAAAAACATTAGCGACGGACTGTGCCGTCGCAAAAACTCTTTTGCAACCCCCCCAATTGCGACCCTCTCTTGCCGTCGCAAAAAGTTTTTGCGACGGCATTAGGAGTATTAGCGACGGTATTTTACCGTCGCAAAAAGTTGAAATTTTTGTAGTGTTAGGAATATTATGATCCATAATAATATAAGTAAAATAATATATAAGAACTAACAATTAATTTAAATAATGAGTAAATAATAATAACTAATCTATGTTAAGAAATAATTAATGTAAAAAATGAGTAACTAATAAATTTAATACGATACAAAAATTAACTTCTTCTGAAAAAGTTTGTTCTTGCACAATTGTAGTTGTTACTTAGGGATAAAATTTCAAAATTAATTGAGAGAGTTGAGAGAGAGAATAGGATATTGAGAGAGATAATTGTTTGTGAAAAATAAAATGAGAAATGAAAGATATTTATAAGAGTTTGGGAAGATAGGGTTAATTTGTAAATAAATAAATAATAAAAAAAAATTGGCCGTTTGGTGTTGAACGGTCATTTGATTGTTTGAATTAAATTCAAATTTTTTTTTTGTTGAATTTTGATAGTTGGATATAATAGAGAGCCGTTGGGTTGGGCCGTGACTCGACCTGGCCGCAGTGTGAAATTTTATTAAGTCAAGTTGAGTTGGGCCGAGCGAACCAGATTTTAAAATGATGGCTAAAATTCAAGTCCAGAATCTCAAACTGGGCTCAAGGCTGAGCCTAACCGGGTCAGGCTTATGCCAAATCGCAGACAGACTTCGGGTCGTCATAAGTCACGGATTATGTAACCCGAACGAGGCCCGTGTACCGTAGAGGGATCCGTAACCGCCCTAATATTGGATTCGGGTTTTGGGCACAGAGCGAAAACCCTACAAACCTCATGGCCAGTGTTCAGTGTTGATGCCAAAGTCTTGAAACGATTCAACACTATCACAGAGAAACCCTTTGAAAGCTTCTCTATTTTCCCAGGCAAGTCTTCATCTCTAAACTCTCTCTCTTATCTGTGATTGATATTCTTTCTAATACATGTATTAATATATCATCATAAAACCCTTATAAAGAAATGAGTCTACACATGTACAGAAATCTCATCTCATTCTCTTCCAAGAACTCAAACCTTTTGGGTCTCTACAAGCCCCATGTTTCTTTCTCTTTCTCTCTCTTCTGTTCTTCCTCTGAGCGAGATCGACTAAACTCTAGAATTTCCCTATCCGACTACTTGCTTCACAAGCACCAATTCTCTCCCGAAACTGTTTCCAAAGTTTCCTCCCCAGTGAGGTATCTGATAAACCCAGAAAGATCCGATTCGATACTGTTATTTCTCAAGGAGACTGGTTTTTCGAAGACCCATCTCGAGCAATTAATCAAACACTACCCCAGAGTTCTCTCTGCCAATCTTGACCACACCATCAAGCCCAAAATCAAAATATTTCAAGACTTAGGCTTCTCATCCACCGACATTGTCGAAATCATCTCAGCTGATCCGTGGATTCTAATGCGCAGTGCTGATAATCAGCTTGGCCCTTCAATTTTAGCTTTGAAGAGTGTCTTGGGTTCGAATGTAGACGTTTCTAGGGTCTTGAAGATTTCTGGGTGGTTTTTAAAACATGATTTGGGGAAGACTATGATGCCCAATATAGAATTCATGAAGAGCTGTGGAATAAGGCAGTCACAGATGATCAAATATGTGTATAACTTTCCGAGATTTTTCTTGCATAAACCCGAGACTATTAAGGAATTCGTTAAGCGGGTTGATGAGTTTGGCATTGATAGAAGTTCCAAGACTTTTCTTCATGCTATCCGGGCTATTAGTTCAATGACTGTAGAAAATTGGCAACTCAAATTGGAGGTTTTCCGGGGTTTGGGGCTTTCAGAAAATGACATTGTGTCCGTGTTTAGGAGGGCACCTCAGGTGTTTGCTGTGTCAGTAAGGAAAATTAAGGCGGGCACGCAGGTTCTCCTCGGTACGAGGAACTTGGATATCTCATTTATTATTAACCACCCAAATTTGCTTATTTTCAGTGTTGAAAAAAGGCTTAAGCCACGGCTACAGGTTCTGAAGATTTTAGAAAGCAAGAATTTGCTTTTGAAAAAGCCTAGTTTGACAACAATATGTAAGATCTCTGATAAGAAGTTCTTTGAGAAATTTGTGCGCCCTTTTTCAAATGAAGTTGGCAAAATGTACACTCCTAATGTGGTATCATAGACAGCAGAAATATGTGCAATTGGCTGAGATCTTGAGACGCACATGTCCATATGAAGTTCCTTGGGAGATGAATGAACAATCTGACTCAATATGGCCATGTCATGGATTAGCATTTGTAAGCATGCGGAATGGAAGGGATTTTTTCTTCAAGAAGCATCAGTGGTATGTTGATCCTGATATTACTTTAGGTGTATGCACTTTATTTTCTTGTACATCTAGTGATTCTCAAGTACTTAAATCTGAAAACACGTGTTTTGGTTACCCAGATTGTTGTCTCATTTTAAGTGAATTATTATTAATCTTTATTTTTTGTGTCTTGTTTCAATTTAGGCAACAAGTTGTTTGCAACTTTGTTATCCTGTTAACTGCACCAACTTTCCAATTTATTTTTTATATCAATGTATAAGTATTAAAATTAAGCATGTGTACCATGATTTATTTTACTTTTCATTTTTGTTTATCTATTGTGATGTTTCAAAACACTGAATGCCTAACCATTTGTTATTAATATTTTTTTTTCTTCTTTATCATGCATTTAGACTATGGCTTACATTCTAAAGCCCTTCGGACTTCCTATGAAGCTAATAGTGCAGCAATATCTAAAGAAAATATTTGCAGTAAGATTATAATAACTAAAACATATATGCTGCCATATCTTGTCATGGTTGCGTATCATATGAGCTGTCTAAGATGCATTCATATGGCGTAGTTGGCCATTAGCAGTGAATATGAGTTTGGAGTGCATTAGTTCTTAATAGATTTTGACTTTGATGGATTTACATGGTTATGATTTTTCTGTTCAGCAGATCCATGTGAGTTCCCTTTTTCATTCCCTTTGTTTCTGAATTTCCCACCTATGGTATATTTTGACACAATTTTAAGATGAATTTCCCACCTTGAGAGATTGGATTTTACTATTTTCCTCATTAAAATAGCAAAACAGGTTTGTTAAAAAACAAAAGATCTAACATAATGATTCTAAAAATGTGTTATTACATGATCTATTTCAGGAATAATGGACTATCTTGGATATCTCATTGTCCAAAGAAAATTGTTCTTACATTTAGAAGTATCTTAAATTCTGATAGTGTGTTTGTTACCACATTTTAAAGCATGTAACGTATCATGTTTCTATTCCCCTTCCTCCTTCTGGAACAATCCAATTTACAAGTAACTGGTAACATAAGTTTGTTTTTACAAATATTCTAATTCAATTGCAATGATGTAGAAAATTGTCTTCGAATGATTTGACAGCTGAAGATACTCATGGGAAAACCTAGCTTGTGAGAGCCTAATGGTCATTCAATTTTATAGTCCCACTTTTGATGGCAATGATGAAGAAAATATTATTTTTATCGAATTCATGAATCCATGCATCTGTAGGATAGGCAGTTTATTAGATAAATGTTATTAAGCGGTAATACCGGCAATTGTAATCCTTAAGCTGGTAGCCAGGTTAATTAGCATAGCGTCTAGCATGAGGCAATTCTTGCGAGCATCTTATATCAAAATATGTGTGCTTCAGAATTTGTTACGAACATTTCCAACAATTTTGTTACATGTATCTTGCTCGTGCTACTTGTGTGTTCAACGAACTCGGTAGCACTGCAAAAACTTATAATAATAAGTCTCTTTGCTCGTCTCTATTTCAAGTTTACGTTTCTTTTCGAAAGAGGGATCTCCTAAATTTGACTAATTTGATCGACATCTACCTTATATTTTATGTCTGAGAATTCTGAAGTTAGATATTTGGTGTACTTCTTTTAGCGTTAAATGCATATCTGAGATCCCATAAAAATTAAGTTTTCTCTTTTTTTCTTATTTGCTAGAAGTACATTATCTCATCTCGACATACTCTACTAAAATGGTAAAACACCGAACTGCACCACCCTAGGATTGTACTCTCGTGATATTAACCAGGTCTCACAATTGCAGTCTCTCACTAATGTACCTTTGGAATTCTTACACGTGCAAGGGTGGTGCCCTTGTTTCGTGCTGCGAATTGAGTCCTGAGTAGTGGATCCCTGTCTTGACTGTTGTTTATCATCTTGTTCTTTCTCAAAAATGCTTAAAGCTGGAATTACTTGGTCGCAAGTAGCAGGAAGAGAGAGTATAGAAGATGATGATGGCCAATGTTTTTTGGTCATTTTGATCAATTTTGTTAGTTCACTAGATGTGGAAAGCCTTTTACAGGGCAAGGAATTTTTTTTATTTATTTTGGTGGGCAAAAACAGGGCAAGCAATTGAAGAAATACCATTGGGCAGTATAGTATGGTGATTTTCTTTGCATTATGTAGATTACTTTTGAAAAAACATTGGACTGGCTTTGCATATTCTCTTAGCATCTATGAGTGAAGTTGTCCGAGACTTGTGCATCGTTATGTATTATGTAAGAGATGGCTATATTTCATGATATATCATTGATGCTAATGCGAAGATATTATTAGCAATGAGTGAGCTGACATTATTTTAGATAACGTTAATGTTGAATTATTACACCACAGATGAGATGGCTGTATTAATAATTGAGTGGCATGAAGTGGTAGCATCGTGCAACGCCTTCATACAACTTTTGGAACAAAATAATTACCAAAAAGAAACTAAAAATTAGGGATGAAATTTAACTTGACATTGATAAATTCACGAATTTAGAAATTCATTTCGAACAATTGAACTTTCACAAAGGTGGTGGTTTTCAGTTTAATACAAAAACATGAATTATTAGAAAAATAAAATTTAAAAAATATATATATATATTTAGTATATAAATATTGCAAAGCATATGTAAGCCTCCGTTTGGGAAGTGGGTTGGCTTTTTGGTTTTTTTGGCTATTTTAGCCTGGGCTAAAATGTTTGGTTTGGGAAGGACTTTTTGGCTTTTTTGACTTTTTTTGTGAGAGAAGAGTGTAATGATTATGGGTTGGATGTGATGTTTTGTTTGTTATGACTAAAATAGTCTATTTTGTTTTTTGTGGCTAAAATAGCCAAAAAAACCCAACAACTTCTTCCCAAACGGTGCCTAAGTGAATAAATATATGTATGTATAAAGTTTAATGAGTTTCCAGACAAAGTGACTGAACATACCTACTGGTTGTTGTTGGAGAGTAGGGGGTGGCAAAGTTGGCAAGAGAGGAATAGGAAATGAATTTTATTTTTTAAAAATAATTCTTGTTTCATTATTTTGCAAGAAACACGAAGCAAGAATCAAATTATGAGGGCATCTTTAACAAGAGAGAAATTATTTTAGGCATTTTGCCGTAATCAACTCAAAAACCAGTGTAATCTCTGAATTCGCTCCCATCTTCTACTGATTCAAGGAGTAAAATTTTTGGCAGAGTTTTATTCATCTCCATAAAATACCCAACAAATTTTACTCAAAACGAAGCAAAGATTATATTTATATATACAAATGTTACATTTTGTGTTTTTGCTAATCAGAACAAGAAAATAAACAAGAAGAAGAACAACAAAAAATAAACAGCTATGGAAAATCATCAACATTCTCAGTAAATATTGAACCACCACCACGGCCACCGCCACCGAGTGAGTTCAGTTCGAGCGCTGACTAGAATGAGTTCATTTCGAGGAGGTAACTAGGGCTCTTGAGCAGCTTCTCCACAGCCTCCCCATAAACTCCTTCAAATGCTCCATTAGCCAAACAGGCGTTACCACTCTGCTCATCCGCCTCCGTTTCCGCTTCACGGGTTGCTGTTGTTGCAGGCCTCACCACCACAAGCGTAGCTCCTTCCATCAAAACACCGCCGGAAAGCTCAAGCCTCTGCTCGTGCCTCATCCTCATTCTCACCGCCGGCACCGTCGTCCTGTTATTCCTCCACCACACTCCATTCCCATTCCCATTCCTGCATACTTGTCCTTCCTCCTCTTCTTCCTCGCACTTGTCTCTACACTCCCTCAACCCCTCTTTCTCCATCACCACCGTCCCTTCCTCTTCTCTATCCCTCGCCACCAACCTCTCCATCTCCCCATGCTCTTTCACCACCTCCTTCATCATATAGTGCCTCGCCGACGCCGCTATCAACGCGCTTATCGTCCACACCACCCTCATCTTCAACCCTCCTCCTCCTCCCCCCAAATCCACCTCCCTACCACCTCCGCGACGGAACCCGAGAATAACGCAGCTCCTCAGGGTCTTCCCGAACTCCGCCCTCCACCTGATCACTGCCCCCTTCTCCAACCTCAGATCGCCGGAGGGAAGCTCGATGTCCAGCTCCCGGATCCCCTCGAACCCGCGGAGAATCTGGGTCGGGGAATTCTGGGATCGGGTCGGTTCGGGAAGGGGTTTGGGGGAAACGAGATCGTGAAGTGACTTGAAGATGGATCTGAAGAAGGTGAGGAAGAAGGGGTCGTCGTCGTCGGAATCGGAGGAGGCGGATACGACCCGGTCAACCTTGAGAAGTAGGGTATCGGTTTGAGGGACGAGCGAGTTGAATCGTCTCGAAACGGCTCGGCATCGGAGAAGGGTTTTGATGTCGGAGATGTTGTTGAAGATGAGGAGAACCAGCGAGTCCGGAACTCGATCGAAGCAGTCATCGTCGAGTCGTCTTTGGTGGGATTGCTGAGGCGGCTGCTCTGTGAGTGAAAGCATAGCTTGAAGATTGCTTGGAATCTCTGATAAAACAATGGGGAAATTGAAAGATAAAGAGAGAGCTGTGATATGAATATGATATGAAAGAAAGAAGGGGAAAATAATGGTTAAAAAAAATAAAAAAATAAAAATGAAGAGGATTTGAGGGGATCGAAGATCAGAGAGAGGTTTGACCGTTGACCAGTTGATGTGTGGGGCCTGCAATTTCTTCATTGGAAAGAAGCCGGCAAGGCAATTATGGAATGAAATGTTCGCTCGTAGTGATGCTATTGCTATCACCACACCACTCCGCTGTATAATATTCAAGAGCATCTCTAATGGAGTTGCTATTCATGATTTTAAAAATTGGATCGGAACGGTTGGTTTAACCGATTGAATTGTCGATTAGTCGGAGTTTCGATTTAGATATACCAACTGAACCGGTCATAATGGAAAATCGGCCTATTACCAGAAGAACTGGAAAAATCGGCGGTCGAATCGTCGAACCGGTTGACCCGGTTCCGGTTCACCGGGTTGTGAAAATGAATTTTTTGTTTTTTGTTTTTTCTTTTTTTATTCTTTCTTTCTTTTCTCTTTCTTTCTTATTATATATATATATATATATATAAAATATAAGAATATAAGAAAATTTTAATTTAAAACTCTTTGTCAAGGGTCTCCTCTTGTGAGGAATCCCATTAAGAGCTTGATGAAATTATTGTGAAAGTCTTCACCTATTTATAAGAAAAAAATTCTTTCAAAAAAATTCAAGAAATCCATGTGGGATTCAATCAAATGTATTGGATGGAATATTGAAATTTTGATATCCCTCCCAAATTTTTACTCTTCTTTCAATCAAATTATTTGAATTAAAATCATATGGAGGGAATATTAAATATTTGATTTCATCTTCCAAAATTGAAATTAATAATATTTCAAAATATATTACAAAAAATATTAGGACAAATATTTAAGATAATTTAATATTTTTAATTTATAATTTTATTACTTATATTTTTATTTAAATATAATTTTAATATATTTATTACGTCACGTTTCGATTTCGGTTCAACTCGACGGTTGAACCGGTGACCCGTCCACCCGATCCCTTTTCCGGTTTGCTCACCGGTCCGATTTTTAAAACATTACTGCTATTTCACTTGTCAAAGATGGCAGATGCCATATGTGTTCTCAAATATGGCAAGTAAAATAGCAGCTCCCAAGTTTGCCAAATCAGCAAAAATGAACAGCAATTTGGCACCAAATTCAGTTGAAAACAACAGAATTTAAGCAATAAGGAACCCAACAAATTCAGAATCAAACCCAGTTTATACAAAAAATTTTTGCCAAATTCACAAAATCATTTATCACCAAATCATTTTTCAGAATCATTTTTTTTTAATCATTTATCACCAAATCAGTTGATGCAAATTGGAGTGTAAAAATCAGATGGATTTTATGACAATAAACCAAACCAAAATCAGATGGATGTTCTTTGAAGATCAAAATAAATATCAAAATAAAATAAATGGATGAACAAAAATAGTTGGATCAACAAAAATTAAACCAAAAATCAAAATAAATAATTACAAAAAATCGGAGAGCACAGACCTGAGTTGTTTGAAGATTTGGAGATGCTTGAGTTCTTTGAAGATCCGGTTTGAAGCCATCGCGAGACCTGAGTCTGAAAAATCGCGACCACCTCCACATTAATAACCAAAAAAATAAATGGAGAGCAAGAGAGAGAGAGACAGATAGAAGAGTACAGATATCGAAGCGTACAGAGATCGGTGAAAAGAGAGAAGACAGTGCGAGAGTGAGAGAGCGAGATCGGTTTGAGGAGAGGGAAGACACTGCGAGAATAAGAGAGAGAGAGAGATCGGTTTGAGGAGAGTGAGAGGAAAGACAGTGTGATCAGAGTGAAAAGAAGGTTGAAAGATTCTCAGTGTGATGAGAGTGAGAGGAGAGGGTTGGATGAGAGATCGGTTTGCGGAGAGTGAGAGGGATGATTCTCAGTGTGATGAGAGTGAGGGGAGAGAGTCGGATGAGAGATCAGCTTGAGGAGACTAAGAGAGATGATTCTCAGTGTGATGAGAGTGAGAGGAGAGGGTTGGATGATTCTAGAGAATCATCTCAGCCATTGAACATTTTAGATGTGGACGGTTGTGATCTCTCATTCTTCCCTTAAAATAGCCGATGTGTTTTTTTTTTTTTAAAAAAAAAATTCAATAAACAGTTGTCTTCAAACGGCTATTTTTTTTTCTAATGGTAATATTTCGAATTTCTATAAATAAAAACTCTCCATGTCAAGTTTTTTAAATTCAATAAACAACTATTTTTTTTTGAATATTTTTTACAAAATAATGTAATATTATTTTCGCAATGTATAATGTTAACTAATTTTTAGTATAATTTAACTTTTTGGTGGGGTGAATTATATTATATGTTGACTAATTATATTTAATTTTTTTTTTCCAATTTTTCAAATTTTTTTTTTCATTTGTTATATTTGTTAAGTTGGGAATAATATAAATATATAATTTTTTTTACAAGTAGGTAAAAAAAGTCATAAAAGACAAAAAATAAACAAAAATAAAATTACAAAAAAACCTATATCCAAACAACACCTACAAATTTAGAGAGAAAATTGGTTAAGATTTGCTAAAATAGCAAATGACCATTGGAGCACCATTGCGCTATAATTTGGCAAAATAACACTATTTATTGCCAAATTATAACAATAGCAATGACATTATAGCAATAATGGTTGGAGATGCTCTAAGAGCATTTACAATGGAACTCTCAAAACACTTGTTAAAATTATAATTCAGTAACAATGATAAAAAGTGAGTCTCTAATGACTTGTTATTTTACTTGTCAAAGATGACATATGTTATATTTGTTCTCAAATTTGACAAGTAAAATAACAATTGCCAAACATGCTACATCTGCAAATATGAACAGATTTGTAGCTTCAAATTTAGTTGAAAAAACAGAATTGAAACAATAGAAAACCAAGTAATTTTTCAAATTTAATTTTTCTAATTGAATTATATTTTATTTTTTTTCTATTTTTTTTATTTTTTATATTTGTCTAGTCGAGAATAATATAAATATATAATTTTTTTTACAAATAGTTAAAAAAATGTCATAAGAGACAAAAAATATACAAAAATAAAATTACAAAAAAATCTATATACAAATAACACCTACAAGCTTGGAGAGAAGGTTGAGAATTGCCAAAATAGCAAAGGACCATTGGACCACCATTGCTATAATTTGACAAAATGACACTATTCATTGCCAAATTATAGCAATAATAATGGTATTATAGCAACAACCATTGGAGATGCTCTAAGAAATAGGCTCCGTTTGGTGCAGCTGTGTAAAAGTAATTATAAATTATAATTTAATATATTATAGATTATAGTTTTAAATATAAGCTGTTAATCTATTTGGTTTAGTTGTGGAATTATTAATTTAATTAACAGAATAGTATTTATTTGAATAAGTTGTAAAATAATTTTTTGTCGTGTAATATTTTTTTTGCCTTTATAAATTTTTTTTTTCATTTTCTTCACTTTTAATCTAAAAAAAAAAATTTATTTCATTAATGAAAATTAATATAATTACTATCCATTAATATAAAAATCGATGCATTTCATCACAACAATTGTTATTTCATTTTTTTTGTTTCATTTTATAAAAGTTATTTCATTAATATCAATTAGCAACAATTTGTTTTTTCTTTTTTTAATTACAATACCAAAGAATTTTATAACGATATAAAATTCTTTTAATAGAAGTTATTTAATTGAAATACATTTATATCAATATTAATTGAAATAAATTGTGCAATTTATTTCTTTATTTAAATTGTGCAATTGTGCAATTTATATCAATATTAATTGTGAAATAAATTGTGAAATTTATTTAATGGATATAAATTGCAGAATTTATTTCAATTAATATCAATATTAATTGAAATAAATTGTGTTTTTTTCATTTTTTTTTATTACAATTATGCAAAACCCTAGCCACCGTCGGTGGTCTGCAAGAAACCCTAGTGGGCGCCCCCTTCTTCTTCTCCTCATTCTCCTCCTCATCCCACCGTTAGAAACCCCTTGCAAAACCCTAGCCGTAATAGCGGAGAGAGAAACAGAGAGAGAGAACGTTCAAGCTCGTTCTCTCCTGCGATCGCAAAGAGAGAGGGAGAGTCAGATCATCACGCCGTTGATTGTCATCATTATCGTCACCATTTCAGATCGTGATGTGGTTTCATATCATGAGAGAGGGAGAGAGAGAGAGAGCTCTGGTTCACGCCGAAAATCGCCTCTTACGCTCTCTTTCTCTCTCTTTGAAGAAGTGAACAGTGTTTGGTTATGCATTTATATATTGGTTTTTTGGTAATATTTGAAGTATATGAGGGGCATTTAAGTCATTACACTCCTCAAAACTCAGCTATCCACTTAAGCTATTTCTGTAATCAGCTCTCAACTAGCTTAAAGATTTAAGCTGAAAATCACTTAAAAAAAGCTATAATCCATCTTTGAAAAGCTATATCAAACACTCCAAAATCACTTATTTTAAGCTATAAGTGGATTTAAGCTGAAAATAAGCTCTACTAAACAGGCACAGAGAAAGGCTTGACGGATTGGATTAGATTGGTTTATCCTATTTTTGTAATTTATGTATAGATAATTTATTTATAATAAAATTCAGAATTACTTGACGAATATAGCCCTGGTTTGGTATGGGCTATTATGTTAGAATAATCACAAAAAGAAAAAAATAAATTAAAAAGTCAATAAGATAAAATGTCATATCCAAATCATAATCATTTTATTTTTTCTCTCATAAAAATCCAGGCTTTGGGAAGTAAGTTAAAAATTAAAAAATTTAAAAAAATTAAAAAAATTGTAACATATTTAAATATTAAAATATTTAAAATCTTAACAAAATTAAAATATTTTTAAAATATTTAAAAAATTAAAATATTGATTTGAATTGAGTTTTGAAAAGAGTTTTGAATTATGTGTTTGGTTATGAGTTTTGAAAAGTAATGATTATATTTTAAATTGAATTTTGAGAAATGGGTGTAGAATTATGATTTGAAAGTTCAAAACAAACACCACACCCAAATCAATGGGTGGAATTATAATTTGAGAGGCTTAC